ACTACGTAGGAGGAAGGAGAGCAGAAGGAGTAACAGTGATTGCAGGACGAGTAGGAGCAGGAACAGTAATAGTACTGGTAGTAGGCACCACAGAGGAGGCGAGTAGTAGTGATAGTAGAGATACTCTGAGTCGGAATAGAAGCAGCTGTTTGTGGAGCACCTAAGTGGGTCGGGTATTAGGATTAACTCGCTATGGATCTGAGCACCGACTGCTCATCACAACCCTCTGCGGCAGCTACTCCTGTTCCATCCACGTTACAGATGAGGACTTGAAGTCTGAAGGAGGGAACATAATTTGCACGAAGCCGCTCAGCCGGGAAACGGCAGGGCTGGCAGTCCAAGGTCACGAACCAGGTTCGTGGTTCCTCCAGACCAGAGAGTCGACCCCTCCTGCAAGGGTCTCCAGAGTGCGCGGCTTTCTACCTTTCCCAAGTGACACGCGCGCCGCTTCAGCACTTCGTGTATAATTTAAGGGAATTCTGAAGCTGTTTGAATATTTAAATTAGGTCTTATCCCGGCAATATATATTTTAAAATCTGCTTCTCTTCAATCTCGGATCCCCAGAAATTCGGTAGGCCCTCCGAGAGCTCTCCCCGCTCTCCTCCATCTCCAAACACCTCCCCCCAGCCCCACCCATGCCATCCGCAGTCTCTGGTCTCTCCTTTCTCTGAAGAAATGACATTCAGATGGAAAAATACTGGCACAAGCTTGACCAAGGTTCTCTAATAAAGACACTGTGCATCACGCATCAGCTGCTGCTGTTGCTATGGTGACAGCCACAATTTCTCCCAGACAGCTTGGGTCTGAAGGGAGGGTGGACCCTAGGGGAACAAGTGGATCTCTCCAACCTGTCAGTCGCTCTCACCTTTCCCGTTTCTCACCTCCCCCACTCCCACCAGCCCCCCTGCTTCCTTAGATGATGCTGACAGCGGGTACTAGCACCTCCAGGCCACGGCAATTAGCTCTGGCTCTGAGCCCGGTCTTCTGGCAGCACATTCCTCACCTTCCTCACCAGCCAATCTCCTTTCCCCAGCATCCCTCCATCAGCACTGCAGCAGCTGCGGCACCAACCACCTCAGCACCAAGGTCATGGGCGCTGCCAACAATGACGAAGCACCCCCTTCCTCCCTGGGGGGGCGCATCACACCAGGAAGGCTTCACTATTGTCTGAGCTGTTTGAGGAAATAAAATTGTGATTCTGAAAAAAGAGGGTGACCTTAGGAGGAGCGGTAAGGCTAAAGTCCAGTTTGGGAGAAACTAAGACATTCATTTGATTTAGGATGAATCGATTCGGTTCTCCAGGACAGAAGGTACGGGGCGGGATGGTTGTAAGACATCTCAGAAGGCTGGGAGAGATTGAGTTCATGTGTCATCACTTGGGTGCTGAAGCTGGTGGCGGTGACCCCAAGAATGGTGAGAATGAGGGGGAGGAGGACAGGCATGACCAACAGTACCATTTATTGAGCACTTACTGTGTACCAGACAGTGCACTAAGCACTTTGCATGCATGACATCCTCAGGGCAACTATGTCAGAGCAAACAGTAGCCACGTGGCAGCTGGTCTTACTACGACCATTTCCCGGGTGGGAACATGAGGCTGGAAAAGTATCACACACATCTAGCATGAGGGACGGTCTCTGGACCATCGGCTGGCACCTTCCAAAGTAGCAATGTCATTTAGGAAAGGTTAGGGATCTTTTCTAGAGAAAAAAGAGAGTAAAGAGACATCAACACCAAATGTGGTTTGTGACCCTACGTTGAATCCTGATGTGGAAAATGAAAACAGCCACAAAAGACGTTTCAGGGGCAGTTGGTGACATTTGAATAGTAGATGGCATCAGGAAGCAAATCCCTGTTAATTTTCACTAAATGTGACATTGGTGTTGTGCTTATGTAGGAGAATGTCCTTATTTTTAGGCAGTGCTGACCAAAACATTCAGGGGCACAGCGCCACGAAGCCTGAGGTTTACTCCGTGATGCTCTCCAGCACCACTACTCAGCCTCAGACCGTAGACTCCGGCAGGCTGTCCCTCCGTTCAGTTTGGTTTGACACAGACCCCACAGCTTGAGGGCTGAGTCCCACAAGACTGTGGGTCACAAGCCCCAGGATGTCACCGGGACTTCTGACTGACCGGCAGTGAATTAGGGGTCGCGTCAGCCGCCTCCTCAGCTTTGAGCAGCCACTAGAATGACTCACAGAACTCAGGAAAGTGTTTTGTTTTCATTTACTGGTTTATTAGAAAGGACACAAGTCAGAACCAGCCAAATGGAAGAGATGCAGAGGGCAAGGTACGGGGGAAGGAGAGCCAAGTTCCCATGTCCTCTGAACACACCACATCCCAGACATCTCAGTGTGCTCCCCAATTCAGAAGCTCTCTGAACCCCATAATTTAGGGGTTTTTAGAGAGGCATCTTTATATTGGCAGAGTGAGCTCAAATCTCTACCTCCTTTACCCTCTTCAAATATCAAGGGTAGAGGAGTGAAAGCTCCAGCCTTCTAATGAGTCCTCGGTCCCCCATCTTGAAACTGTTGAGGGGTTCTCAGTCACCAGTCATCTTGGGAGCATACATAAGATACCCAGAGACTCCCAGGACTTTAGAGCTGTGCCCTAGGAACCTGGGACCAAAGTCAAATATATTTTTTTATCATGTGACATATTCTCTCTCTCTCTCTCTCTCTCTCTCTCTCTCTCTCTCTCTCTCTCACACACACACACACACACACACACACACAGAGCAAATCTACCAAAATGTTACCAAGGGCCAGCTCATCATTGGATTATCAACAATCCATCACACAATCATAATAGCACTATCCTTCGATTTTTCTGTATGCATGAAAATGTTGGTAGCAGGAATTGTGAGGAAAAATACAAGAGAAAGGGTCAGTAACTTGCCCAAGGACCAAGGTCACACAGTTATTAGGTGTCAGAAGTGAAGTCACATCTGTGCTGCCTGGTCTCAAAGCTTAAGTTCTTTTTTTTTTTTTTAAAGATCTATTTATTTATGCATACAAGAGCTGGGGTACAGACCGGAGGTGTGGTGGGTGAGAGGATTCACCAGAGACAGAGTGGGGAGCAGAACAGGTGGATCTACTGAAATACACTGCTGAGGGGAGCAGCAAGCGAGTCAGGAGAGGTCTGCTGCGCCATGTGGGAAGCTCCCTAGCTAGGAATCGAACTCGTGCTGCAGAGGCTGCATACAGCTTCATCGGTTGCATCTTAACCCCTGTGCCACTAGGGAGGCCCCTCAAAGCTTAAGTTCTGATAAACCTGCGCTCAGCCTTTCCAGAAAGGGAGGGTCTTGTGTACCGAAGAAGGCCAGAGGGTTCCCTTTGCTCAGGGCCATGTCCCAGGCAAACCAAGTTCTGGCAAAGTGTGGGAATCACCGGTTCAAGCAGCAAAGCAGCTTTTTAGCAGTTCATTCGAGAAATATTTTTGTGAGACACTATGGATGGTCCCTGGCTCAAGGAATGTAGATGTGAGTGAAAACAGCTGTCTTTGCGCAGCTGAAATGGCATCTGCTTTCGACCACGTTCTGTTCTGTTCTGTTCTGGCTTTTATTTTATTGAGGTAACGTTGGTTTATGATGCTGTATGTGATTCAGAGGTGTAGAATCCCCCTTCAGATGTCTCACCGCACCCCACTCACCTCCAAAGCACCCACCACCCTCCACCATAGTCCATGGGTCCCCCCCACTCCTTGGGTAGACTTAATTCTACACTGATTTCTAAGGTTTGTTACTGGTTTGGTTTTGATTGATTTGTTTGTTTTGTTTATCTATATTCCACATGAGTGGAACCACCTGATATTTGTCCTTCTCCTTCTGACTTATTTCGCTAAGAAGAATCCCTTCCAGTTCCATCCATGTTGTGGCAAATGGCAAGAGTTCCTCTATTTTTTATTAGGTCACATTCTTAGCAGGAAGGCCTGGCATCAGATACCACCCAAAACATATTTCTGGGTACAGCCTAGGAAAGGGAGTCCGGAACCACAGTCCAGGTCCATAACAACATAACTTTAGCTCTGCTATCAAGAGCGTTTCCTCAAAGCGCCAAGTCCAAAATTTAATTCAACACTAGACTTAACCACAAGCCTGAAAGTCTCCTGCTAAGTTTTCATTTTCTCTTTTTTTTTTTTTAAAGATTTTATTTATTTATTTATACAAGCCCTGGTACAGTCAGAAGCGCGGGAGGGTGAGAGAATTCACCAGAGCCAGAGCAGGGAGCAGAACAGGCAGAAGGACCGAAGTACACTGCTGAGGGGAGCAGCAGGCGGCAGGAGAGGTCTGCGCGCCATGTGGGACCCTCACCTGGCGGCCGGGGATCGAACCGGCGCTGCAGAGGCTGCCGGCAGCTTTGCAACCCAGAGCTCAACTGCTGCGCCACCCAGGAGGCCCTCATTTTCTCATTTTAAGAAAATAAAGTTAAAATAGACTGGAACTTAACCCATATCTTCATTGTTTTACCTGTGTTTGGCTCCAAATTTAGTTCCTCACTTTGCAGGTTTTTTTTTTTTAAGATTTATTTATTTATACATGTAAGAACTGGGGTACAGGCCAGAGCTGTGGGGGGTGAGAGGATTCACCAGAGACAGAGCGGGTGGACAGAACTGACAGACTGACTGACAGAACAGGCAGACTGACTGACATACACTGCTGAGGGGAGCGGCGAATGAGTCAGGAGAGGTCTGCTGCGCCATGTGGGTAGCTCCCTGGCTGGCTGGGGATTGAACTTGTGCTGCAGTGGCTGTGGATTGCTTCATAGGTTGTGTCTTAACCCCTTGTGCCACCAGGGAGTCCCCTGCAGGGGTTTTTAGCTTCCTTTGATCCCTAAGAATCCAGGACCTGAGCAGTGGTTCTAACCCTGGTTGTGCATTAGACCGCAACCAGAAAGCTTTGGTGACTACAGATAACCAAGAACCATGTTTCAGGAATTCTGACTGAAAGGAGGTAGGGTCTAGATTTAAATGTGCCATAGAAGCAGAGTTAGTGACTGGTACCTATTCGTCTTCTGTGCTTCTCCTCCAAATATTAGTTGAAGCATCCAGTCCGTCTTGAAGACATTCCAGTGACACCTGTGTAGATCAACAAATTAAACTAGTAGATGTCAATGCATGAAAAGAAAATCTTGGGACTTAAGAAAATATTTAATAATATGAGATAAGTTACAAAGATGAGAGGACTCTGAAGAAAATGTTTCTCCTGATACAAAGATTTACTGCCAACAAGGCAGCATGTTTGAAAAATGGTCTAATACTCAATGAAATAAAAGGGCAGATAATAGGCCAAGCCTGCAAAAATGAGGTGGATACAAAGAAAAACACATCAACTTAATAAAATTTCACTGGTAGCAGGAAAGGCAGAAATGACACGAGAGAAAGTTTATGAATGGAACAAAAAAGACTGAGACATTCAGAGGAGATAAATCAAGAAGTGAAAAAAAATAAGAGACCATAGGGCTTCTGAATTCAGTTGGAAAGAAATGGCAGTGAATCTTATAGCGAAAATTAATCATGTAACAGCTCAATAGCCTATTCCTCAGTATCATTATTAGGAAGAAGAGAGAGGGAAGAGGAGAGGGGCTCCCCAAAGCCCCCTAAAGGGTGCACCGCTGTAGATGATAAAGCTCTGATGGGGGGGAGGCATCAAAACAGACCTGGAACACGAGTGTCTCCCCAAGGACTAAAGCCTACAGACTACAGATCGCTTTTATTGACAACATTGTATGAAACTTACCTGTTTTCACATTCTAAATGCAAATCAATCTCTGGACATGCATTAATAAAATGAAATGGGATGGGGCTGATTTAAAATAAAACCAGCTATTTGGATATGGCTGTTTGGAAGGCATGCAAAAGTGAAAATGGCAAATTAGTTCTAGAGTTTCCTAGCCCTGGGTGCCTCTTTCTAAATGCTACTTCCCATTGTAAGACCAATTCTGGTCAAGTGCTAATGTCTATGAATGGTCAGCTTTTTATTTCTGACTTGTAAATGATCCAAAAATAAAATAATATTAAGAGGCCTCCCTGGTGGCACAAAGGGTTAAGTCTCAACACTATCAAGCTATCGCCAGTCACTGAAGCACGAGTTCGATCCCTGGCCAGGGAGATACCCACATGGTGCAGCAGACCTCTCCTGTCTCGCCCGCTGCTCCCCTCAGCAGTGTAGTATATTTCAGTCAGTCTTCCTGTTCTGCTGCCCACTCTGTCTGTGGTGAATCCTCTCAACTCCCCCCACCCCCCACAGCTCTGGTCTACACCCCAGTTCTTATATGCACAAAAAAATAAAAATAAATAAAACTTAAAAAAAATAAAATACTATTAAATAATTTGGTGGACCCATAAACAGTGAGCTACCAGTTTTCCTTGTTGGGATTACTATTTTGGAACTAACTCGAAAGGGACTCTGCACATAATAGAGCCTGATTCCAGCGGAGGTGGGAGAGCCTTTCCTCTCCATTCCAACACTGACACGTAAAAGCAACTAAATTATTTAATGTAGTGAGACAGAAGCTGAGACCCTGCAAAGTTATCCTTTTAAATATTATTTTCTTAAAACACACACGCCCAACACACTTACATACACATATACAGGTTGATCTAAATCTGAACAATCAGAAAAAAAAAAAAAATTTAAAAATCTGAATAATCAAGTGAATTAAACTGTTTTAGAGAAGATCACAAGAAAAATTAGGGAAAGCTGTCAAAGGAATCGACTCAGTCCTTCTGTTCAAATACTCCAACCAGCACCACCAATTCCGTTTTCTGATCTCAAGGTGGGGGCTGGAAGGAGATCAAGGAAGTGACACCTCTCTCTGGTGAACAGAGAGAATAAGTTGAAATTGCTAGTCAATACAAAAAAGGTATTTTGTATAAGAAAAGCTGTGATTCTTCCTCCTTCAATAGGATATGCCTTAATCTCCTAAAATCCCAGGCCACTAAAAGATAAGGGTGCATTTCAGCCTTGGAAAGGGATTTCCTTTAGATGTGGGCTACTGAGCACCCCTGAGGGGATCTGCCTCAACCTTTGCACCCTTTGGAGATGGTTGCTTCTCTGTTTACTGGCCCTGACGCAACGTCACCATCAAGGTACGGAAGGACCTGACACCCTCAGCTTTTCTGCCTAGTCTTTTCCCACTTGTCGAAAGCAATCCTATTCTTTTTGCCTAGTGGAACAATTCCCAACCAGAGCATTAGGACGGAATGAAAGGGAGGACTGGCAGCCTCCCAGATGCAGAAATAATGTCAAGAATGGACATTTAATTCAGATAATGCCTTGGAATTCACATATGTGCCAATAGGATCGGCACATAGAGAAAGAATCAAGGATGATTTACACTTATCAGCTGTGCTTCCTCACCTCTCAATCACTTCTCAACCTTCTCCCCTTCACACTCCCACGGAGTGTTCTCCACACGGTCACAGTGACCTCCTTTCTACGTGTAGGGAGACATCTTGGTTTCTTGATTGTGTTTGACATAGCTGATCACTCCTTTTCCTTTGGATTTTTTTTTTCTCCTGCAGAATCAGTGACACCCCCTCATCTCTCTGATTGCTCTTTTGCCTGCTCTTTCTTTGACCCAACCCTTAGATGTTCTAATTCCTAAGAGTTACGCTAGCCTTCTTTTCTCTCCACATTAATTGGCCTGCCTTTGAATAGCACCGTCATGCCACTAATGTGTTATTTTTCTGTCTCCAAGTCAGACATTACTCTTGAGCTTCTAAGTTGGTGTCCAATTGCTTTCTGAGTATCACCGCATAGTCCCAGACTTCTTAAACCCAACATGCCCAACCACAGGTTTTTAAATCCTTCACTAAGTCTACTCCCTTTGCAGTAAATAGTCTGCCAGTTATTTGACCTTGAAACATTAGGGTCATCCTAAACTCTTACTCCGTTACCATATCCAATCAGTCACTGCATCAACACTGTCTTGTTTCTTAAGCTCATATCTTTCTAGCTGCTTTGTCTTGCCTCTGGTATACTGTAAACCCCATGAGAACTCAAGCTTGGGCTAAGTTGTTCATCATTTTATCCCCAGTGCCTAGAACAGTACCTGGACCCAATGTAGGTACTCAGCATCTATTTATTGAATTAGTAAATAACTCTTTAAACAGCTGCTGCCTTGAACTATCTGTGCTTCCCCTGTTATCTCTCTTCATACCCTTTATTCATGTGATTGCTGGGTTACCTTTCCAGAGGTAGGTGACCTTCAAGATGCTCCCCAATGATTCCTGATTTCTTACTTTTTTAAAAAAGATTTATTTATTTATGTGTACAAGAACTGGGGTGTAGGCCAGAGGTACGAGGGGTGAGAGGATTCACCAGAGACAGAGTGGTAGCAGGACAGGCCAATCTACTGAAATACAATGCTGAGGGGAGCAGTGGGTGAGACAGGAGAGATCTCCTGTGCCATGTGGGTCAGTTCCCTTGCTGGGGATCAAACTCAACCACAGTGGCTGGTGATAGCTTGATAGTGCTTAAGATTTTAACCCCTGTGCCATCAGGGAGGCCCTGATTCTTGCTTTCTGATATGTGTTCTTGTATGATATTTGCAGCCCTCCCCTGGCACATAGGTTCAATGTAGTGAATCATTTCTAATGAATAGAATGTGACAAAAATGACAGGGACCTCCCTGGTGGCACAAGGGGTCAAGACGGAGCCTCTGAGGCTATCCACAGCCTCTGTAGCACGAGTTCGATCCCCTGCCAGGGAACTACCCACATGGCGCAGCAGACCTCTCCTGACTCACCCGCTGCTCTCCTCAGCAGTGTATTTCAGTCCATCTGCCTGTTCTGCTCCCCACTCTGTCTCTGGTGAATCCTCTCACCCTCCCAAGTCTCTGGCCTGTACCCCAGTTCCTGTATGCATAAGAAAATAGATCTTTAAAAATATAAAAGGAAAAAAGCAGGTATAGAGGTTTTATTGTTCAAATGGAAATACCTTTTTTAATTAGTAAAACTTATTCCAATTAACACTCAAGCAATACACACTGTATAAAATAGAAAAATGAAAGTCCACCATTACCCCACTTTCCCAATTAATCATTAATAATTTATTTTTTATTCTCCCATACTTTTTTGAAATCTGAAAAATAAAAATGGGCTACTTTGTTATTCTCCTTTTCCTTGCTCTTTTCCTATTAATGATACATAGTGGACATCTTTCTACACTCATACATATGGAACGACTAATTGTTTTTTTTTTCTTACTTTTGGCCTAGTTGCATGTCATTCATTATATTCGTATATTGTAATAAACTCAACTGCTAAAATGAAGCTCCATGATCTAGCCAAAGAACACAAGAACACTAATTCAAAAGGAAACCTGCAACCTTATGTTTATTGCAACACTCTTTACAATAGCCAAGAGATGGAAACAACCTACATGCCCCCAAAACAGATGAGTAGATCAAGAAGGTGTCACTTATATACATAATGGAATACTACTCAGCAGTCAAAAAAGATAATCTCATGCATCTGCGGCAACATGGATGGAGCCAGAAGGGTTACTGCTAAGTGAAATAAGTCAGAAGGAAAAAAAATATTGGATAGTATCACTTACATGTGGAATACAGACAAAAGCAAACAAAGAGTCAAAGACAAACCTTGATATCTGACCATAGATATGAGGCATCCAGGAAGGGAGGGAGGCAAAGGGTTGGGAGAGGTGAAAACAGCTGGGGGAAGAAGAGCAGAAGGGAATATGGTGATGGACTAATGGGTGCTTTGTTGGTGGGAGAGCTATGGTGACCACACCTAAGGGGAGAAATCCTACCGTGTCCCAAAATTAGTAGCGATGTAAGAAAAAATTACTCCTTCAAAAAAAAAATTGCAAAAAGCAAGTATGAATTAAAAAATATATATATAAAGCATATCAGACCCATGGTATTCTGTATAATATAGGTTCACCAGATCTTTCTAGTTTGTTCATAACTGTGATTCATATATTCATTAAATAATTAGTTATTGAGAACGTAAAAAAAATATAAGCTCCATGACAACAAGAATTTATCAGACTTATTTACTGCTATATCCTTAAGGGCTGGAACAGTGCTTGAAGCTTAGTAGGTATTCAAAAAATATCTTTTGAGTGAATTAATGTATCTAATCAATTGGCTTGATTGCACAATAGTACATCTTTTTCACACTAGTATGATTGTTTCCTTGAGATGAAGTCCTAAAGATGAAATTGCTGTCAAAAGGTTATCTTAAACATTTGAAACATGTATTCAGCTGCATTTAGCTTTCACTATTTGACATACCCACCCATCGTTGTATAAAAATCTCTAGGTGCCTCACATCCTCACTGGAATGGGATTTCATTCATCTGTTATGGGATTCTCAACTACAGATATTGCATTGGGGAATTGAAAAGCAGGTCTTTTGTGAGACCAGGCAGAAGGCACTGGCCTATCAGGCATGCTTGGGAAATTAATTTTGATGAAAAGTACATCATTCAGGGTCCCAGCAGGAAAGAGAAGACACACTCCAATTAGGTAACTTAAGGAGCAATTAATACAAGGACTCTTGCTGAAGGGAGGGCAGGGTGTTAGCAAACACAAATATCCTCAGGGACTAATTACCCCTAGGCCTGAAGGGGCCACAGGGAAGAGTGACCCCTGCACCCTGGAGACTGAGAAGTCAACACGGAGAGGGTATGAGTTGTGCTCCCCAAGGCACCAGCACCCAGAGACCCTCTAGGGAGGCAGCTGGAGAATAAATACTCAACTTCACTCCCTCCAGTCACCTTCTGGGGTTCCCTATTGGTCAAAGCCAATAGAAAGCCAGAGGGCAAGGGGACCCATTGCATATTACCTGTTGGGCTTGGTCTCCCAAGGCACAGGCCATGCAGCATATAGTAAGTGCTCAATAAATGTGCCATTGAATTTAACTGTCCCAATAATCCTTCATTGTAAGCATTTCCATTCCAGTAGGGAAACAGGCTCAGAAAGATTAATTTGCTAGTTAGGGAAGGCTCCGAAGCTCTGTGCTTTTAATGGTTGTGAAACTTGGATCTATGGGAGACTAAAGAATAGTCAGCACAAACTTTGCAAAAAATGGAAACCCCCCAACACAGGGCAGGATCTGAAGGCCTGTGGTGGCCGGATACCCACCTGTAGCCTCTACAACATGGGAGTGATCACTCCAGTGAGAGGTAGCAGGGATCACTCCAGTGAGAGGTAGCCTGAGGTCCAGCCCAGTACCTCTAACAATACCAGATGCACACCTGGGACAGATGGCAGAGCATAGAGCCTGAAGTCTGATTCTGAGGTTCAAGTCCTGGCTCTGACATCTACCAGCTGTGTGACCTTAGGCATGTTCCTTAGCTCCTGCCCCTGCCCTGTTTCTTCATCTGTGCAGTGAAGAGAATCTTCGTACCTTCCTCAGAAGGACTGGGTTGAGCGCTACATGTGTTAAAACATGAGGGGTGCCCCACATATTATGGGCCCCTTGCTTCCTCTTCAAGGATCCTGAGGTACAACCTCATCTTAATCAGACTCTGCACCCCCAAATCAGAGACCTCTCGTCCAGGCCAACCTTCTTCTGTAAGGCCAAGCTGTCACTATGTTTGGTTTTACTGTCCCTACATTCAAAACCACTCCACCACCACGACCCCCCCCCCCCACTGTAATACAAAGGCAGGCAGGGAGCAGCTTAAATGTGGGTATGGCTGTGCTCCTATAAATTTTACTTATGGACACTGAGATTTGAATTTCATACAATGTTCACATGTCACAAAATAATATTTTGGAGGTTCTTTTTTAAAGACTTAAAAATATAAAAACTGGGCCTCCCTGGTGGCACGAGGGGTTAAGACAGCACTCTGAAGCTATCTGCGGCCTCTGCAGCACGGCTTCGATCCCTGGCCAGGGAGCTGACCAACATGGCACAGCAGACCTCTCCTGTCTCTCCTGCTGCTCCCCTCAGCAGTGTGTTTCAGTAGATCCACTTGTTCTGCTCCCCACTCTGTGGTGAATCCTCTCACCCCCTGCACCTCTGGCCTTTACCCCAGTTCTTGTATGCATAAATAAATAAATAAATCTATTTAAAAAAATATATAAAAACCATCCCTACTTCCCAGACCATGCAAAAACAAGGGGCAGGCTGCTTGTGGCGCCCAGTTGGCTCTTGAACAAGTCCTAGACTAGGTCCCTGCAGGTGGGATGGACCCCCTAAGCATGCACCTGAAACCTGGCTTTCTTCTGCACGTGCCCAGTCAGCCCTGGGAGGGAACCCCACCTCCTCCACCTCACGTGCTTGGGCCCCGTGAGATCTAGGCTCAACATGCGCTTCGTGCTGCTGGTAACTTCAACCCCTCTGGACTCTTCCCAGTTTCTCCAGGGTGCCAACTCTCTCCACCTCAGGGTTCTCAGAGGGACACTTTTCTGTGTCCTCATTGAAACCGCCTGTCCACAGGTGGCGTGATTCTAAGCCTGCGCACTTGTCTTCTTTCCCACTGTACTTCCACAGGGACACATAGTGCCCAGCATCCAGTCAGTGCTCAATAAATGTACACTGACGCACATCCATCCTTCAAAGTTGGTGCTTATGTCCCCAGTGGGGAGCCTGAAACTCAGAGAGATTAATTCACTTTCCCATGGCCTCACAGCTAGTTTTGGAACCTCCAAAGCTCCACATCCCTAAGTACCCCAGAATTCTCAAAGTACCTTAAATTCTGGTGCCACCAACCATCTGGTAACCTTGCGTGAGTCATTTTCTCTCTGTCTCTTTCCTCAACAGTGAAAGGGGGATGAGAATAATAATGCTTCCCTCACTGGTTTATCATGAGGCTTGAAGGAGTTAATCGACCTAAAGGGTGATGAATGCACCTGGCACTCATAGAAATCTCCGTCCTCATTAGCTTGAAGCCCCCAGCTGTGAAGGAGCCTGTGGAGGTCTTAGGTCTGAGCCAAAATGGCTTCCTCCTTCCACCCTGCGGTGATTTATCTATCACCCAAGACCCTGAGTGGGCTGGGTTGTTGCTCAGTCCTTGGGGCTGAGGGCCCCTGGAGGAGAGGACATTTCGAGTGAAAACCAGAACTTCTCAGAGAAGGAGGTAGGGCCACCCTGGCTTTGTGGGGGTTAAGTCCAACCAGAATGTGTTTATTTTCCCCTGTGTCTGGAAGGGCCTCTCTGGTCTCCATGGCAACCTGATTTCCTGTCCTGGTTTTCCCTTGGACGAGATACCTGCTGAATGCAGAGGCGCCTGGGCTAAAGCTTGGGGTGGAGGCCAGCGCTGAGGCAGGCCACTCTAGCTGCCTCCCCTACGCCGGCCAAGCGGCCAGCTCCACCACAGCCATGTCACAAGAGCCTTTGTTTACCAGTCCCGACATCCAACTTGAGGGTGACGTCATGGAATCCAGCCCGGAATCTTTGTTATGCCCCATTTTCTTTCTTCCTTTTCAAGGGTTTTGTTTCTTCCTGGGGCCGAGGAAACAGGCTCACACACATGCCCAATTTGCTGAGATTATTTTTAAACCCTCCTACTCATAGAGCATACCCTAGATCTGGAAACTTCACTAACAATTATTCATTCATTCATTCACTGGCCATTTTATTCATTCAGCAAACATTTGCATATGGGATTAAAGGCCCAAACTGTGCTGGAACTGAAGAAAGGGGACCTGAAAGGGGAAGAGTTGGGGTCTCTGCTCTCAAGGAAATGCCATGCTAGAGAATGGAGACAGGCATGTAAATAAGGAAGCACCATGTAAGATGCTTGGTGCTTTGACAGAGGCCTTTGCAGGGATGTTATGGCTGTGGAGATGGGAAACTTAATCTCTGCAAAGTGCCTGCATTCAGATTCAGCTCCTAAACTCAGCAAATTCTAACCTGAGCCTCAGTCTTCTCATCTGTAAAATGGGGATAATGCAAGTACCCACATGGGGGCATTAGACAGCCTGATGGCTGGGAGTCTGCCTTCTGGGGTGGGCCTGAGTGGTTCAGGTCTCAGCTCTACCACCTACTAGCTCTGAGCCCTTGTGCAGGTTATTTATGCTCTCTGTTAAATGGGGACTGTCTTAGTGCTCGCTGAATGAAGCTGCTTGAGGTCTAAGTAAGTGAATGTATGCATTTAGAATGGGGTGCTGAGACTTGTCTATATAATTCCCCACCTCAAAGGACCCTGGGACCCCAGAGGAGGAAGATAGTGGGGCTCCCTGGAGAATTGGGGGATGAACACTGAGAGGTTTAGCAGAGGAGGTAACACCTACATGATTAGCTATTCAGTGTCTGTAACTTCCCCTACTTCTTTTAGGTCAGTGATCATATCTGCTTGTTTCACCATCTTGGTCCCACCTCCTAGCACAATCCATGGAGTGGGAAACCAATGAATGTGTGAATAATTGAACGACTAAAGGATAAGTGCAACATCTTTATCATGACATTCAATATCTTTTATAACTAATTAAGATCATATTGTGATGGCTTATTTTGTGGGTCAGCTTGACTGGGCCACAAAGTGTCCAGATATTTGGCTAAATGCTATTACTAGGTGTGTCTGTGAGAGCATTTCTGGATGAGATTAACAATCAGTAGACTGATAAAAACAGATTGCCCTCCCAAGTGTGGGTGGGCCTAGTTTAATCTGTTATAAGCCCAAATAGAATGAAAGACTAAGTTAAAAACATCCCCTCTCTCTGCTTGATTGTATTAGAGCCAGAGCATCAGTCTTCTGCTTTGGACACAGACTCAGGCTATAACTTAATACCATTGACTTCCCTGGCCCTGGGCCTTTGGTTTTAAACTAGGACACTAGCTTTCCTAGGTCTGGACTTCCCAGCCTCTATAACTGTGTGAGTCAATTCCTTATGATAAATAAATAAATAAATAAATAAATATATATATATATATATATATATATATATATATATATATATATATAGTGTGTGTGTGTGTGTATGAATGAAGAATCCTGACACTAACATAATCACCTAGTCTGATTTCTGAAAATTTTCCTGGCCCTACTACCCTAGACTCTAGTGTTTTTTTGTTTGTTTGTTGGTTTTTTAAAGATTTATTTATTTATACACACAAGAGCTGGGATACAGGCCAGAGGTGTGGGGTGGAGAAGATTCACCAGAGACAGAGTGGGGAGCAGGACAGGCAGATTGACCAAAGTACACTGCTGAGGGGAGCAGTGGGAGAGTCAAGAGCAGTCTGCTACGCCATGTAGGTTGCTCCCTGGCCAGGGATCGAACTCATGCTGCACAGGTTGTGTACAGCTTCATCGGTTGCGTCTTAACCCTTTGTACCACCAGGGAGGCCCACTAGACTCTAGTTTTAACAAATCCCCCAAAACCTTCGCTTTATAGGCGGTTCCAATTTCCTTGGATATCCTTTTTTTTTCTATAGCAAGTGAAACACTGCTCATTCATTATTCATTGTTTACTTGCATTTATTCAAAATATTAATTGTGATCATTGAAGAAATCATGTACAGGAAGGTATGAGATAAATTGTAAGGCAGGTTGTGGGAGCCCCTCAATACCCTTCCCACCACCTCTCTGCCATTCGGAATCCACCTGAGGCTTGATCCTCAGCTTCAAGAAAGCAGAAGGGAGGACCCTAGTTGATAAAAACCAGTCATGATATTCATCCTCCATGTGAGTGATTGATTCAAGAATCTAGACCTAGGTCAACTAGAATATGGTAAGCTAGAGACAAGGACTGGCTTAAGATTGAACAATGGCCCAACTCAGTCCTGTGACAGTGAGTTAGACAAGAGTTGATGCTTAAGAGGGTCGCAAGGTAACTTGCACTCTCCTGGGTATTTCTGAGTGAAGAAGTGAGGCTTACATTTAAGTTGATTTCTCTCTACAAGCCTTTGAGTGAAATCTACAGAGGACTGAAGGCAAGGCAAATGGTGCAGAAGCCATGAAGTGAAATCAGATTTGAAGTCTACTCCATATCTTGAGGCAATATAGGTTCTCCAGAGGAGTGACATGACCAGCTCCCATGCTTTAAAAAGAGCCCCCTGGTGGCAGTGAGAAAAGTGAACAGGATTTGAGACTAGAGGCAGGACCTTGCTGGAAGATGTCTGGTGAGGATATAAGACCAGGGAAATGGTTAAAGAAGACACCTAGGTGAGGAGGCAAAAATTTATAGTCAATGCTTAAACAATGTGGGAGTTTCCCTGAGTAGTGGAAAGTTCATGTATAACTAACTTATGATTGGCCCTCCATAGATGTGGCTTCTACTTCCTGGAATTTGACCAAAATTCATGCTTGGCTGAATCTGTGAATGTGGAACCTGCAGATAAAGGAAACAAATCCCTCCATAAGCATGCACTTTCACAGTTCAAACCATGTTGTTCAACTATACTCATTGACAAGGATCATTCCAAATTCTTAGACAGTGGAACCACATGACTGACAGGCCTGGAGAAAAGTTAGGAATATTCAGTCATTCATCCAGTCATCCAACACATGTTTTTGAGTTCTCATGTGCCAATGCTCTGCTATCTGTGTGAACAAGAAAGACACAAATCCTTGCCCTATAGAACTTATATTGTAGGGGAGGGATAGACAGTAAACAAAATGAATATGTACACATATAAAATGGTTTGTGTGGTGATACAGGCAATGAAGAAAATAAATTAAAGGAAAAGAAATAGGGGAATGTTAGGGAAGGAAAATTATTCAGCCAGAAGTTCCCACTCCCTGGTCTTCCACAGTAGAGGTTTTTCTCAACAAAAATCTTCAAAGTATGATACCTTTAGGTGTTTAGTGACTGAGGAGGTACACAAAAATAATTACCATTGTGAAAAACTATCCCTAACATGTATTGGATGACTACTATATGAAAAGCAAAAACACTGTTCTGGTCTATTCACAAATGTTCTTTTACTTAATTGCTATTCTTTTAAAATCAGAAAACCGACCATTGGTAATGTAAAGCAAGCCACCCAAGATGGTACTGTGACAGAGTTCTAAACATGGGTCTATTTAACACCAGACCCTTTGTTTTGCTTTTTTACATAGGATGCTAACTTAGAGAGGTAACTCTTCTTAATTCCAATTTCAAGTTTCTTGACAGCTATGATTAGTCATTTTAGATAAGATAATTAAAGAGAAGGTGAATTCATTATGAAGGTTATGTTTGATTAGACAAGTGAAATCTCTCAAATGTATCCCATGAGAAGAAATAGGAAAGTCTTTTGGAGGGTAAAATTGTTAAGTCTGCCCTCAAGACCTTGTTAGCTCTTGGCCAATATTTTTTAGTGTCTCTTACTACATTGTCCACATATCTCCCCTTTTTGCTTCCAAGGTTATAATCTCCAGGGTTTGCCTGGGGGTTGTTGGAGGTCTGGAACAGACCCAGAAAAGTGGAGATCTTTGTGACTTGGACCAATGAGTCAACCAGATTTCAGAGGATGACCATGTGTCCCTTTCTCATGTTGAAAATTCCACAAAAACATGTAGTTATGGACACCCCACTTTAGATATCAAAGGGCCAAAAAGCAAAGCAAAAGGTGCTCTGTGAGTATCCTTACTAGGGGCCACATGGCTCCTGTCCCATCTATTTGTCTAACTGTTAAATTGTTGATTGTTAGTTTGTTAGAAAATTATTATTGTTTCAAATTTTTTGTTGAAGTAACAATGTTTTATAACTAAAATATTATTCTAATTGCATACATAATACATGAATATATTCTCCTTTAAAAATTAATTAAAATACAATTGGTAAGGTTAAAGCCCTCTTTTGTTGCCATGGCTGATTGGGCTTCTCTGTTCCGGTTCATAGTGTTTAGAGTGAGACCTTCCAGATCTTTTCTAAAAGTTTCCTTTTTCAATTGTGTCCACATACTATTTATGTGCTTTTTATTTTACATAAATGGCGCCTTGCTGTACAAGTAATTTTGAAACCTTTACTCTTTACAGGTAATCACTCTAGATATCTAACACCTCGTTATGAACTATTCTTAATGAAAATGTAGGAAGGAAAAGCTAATATTTACCATCATTCCAGTAGATGCCAGGCACAGCATTAAACCATTTATCACAAATCCTAGTGGTCTTAGAGTTGAGTCAAAGCTGTTTTTATGCTGCGGTAAACTGGTAAACATATTCCCAATGGCAGCATATTTTAAACAATATTTACTAAAAATAATAGTACTATGAAAAATAATCATAATAAGCATATTCACACTATGGCATGATAATTTAGTACACTATTAATTCATGCTCTGTTCCTGGTGGGTTTTGCCTTCCTCCCTCCCAGGAAGGAGCCAGACTCTGCATTCTCTCACCTGAAGGGAATTAATTGGTTGATGTG